CAAATCAAACGTCCTCCTTGAACGTGAAGATTTATAACCCCTCCCAAAATTCTCTCTGAAAATAACCAACCCAATGTTCAAACCCTGGATGGAAGGTCACACTTTTAGTGCTATCTTCAATCCTTCTGAGCTCTTGGCTCTATTGTATCATGTGGCAAGGAGCTGTGCAAGGGAATTGGGCTCCCTGTAACTAATTTGAATTTCATGTTTCTTTTGCCTTTTTGACTCTCCCTGTGTTCTACGATCACTTAGGACAGGGAGCAATTTGTCAGCTTCCTCCTCCCCATCATTCACTACTTTCTGTATATTTCACATCAATCCTTACTTTAGGTTTTTTAAAGTTACTGGTCTGTCATTCCTTCACCACAGGAAGCACAAGTTTAACCACTCCATCAATGCAATTACTGACTTGACAATGCTTCATTATGCCCTAAAGCAGAGAGGATCTATTTGTTCTGCAATAAAGCAGCTCTTAATTAGGCTATTGCTCCTCCTGTGTAAATATCTCATTTTGCCTCTGGAATTGGGAAAGTTCACTCTATCTCTTGCTGTTTGAAAAAGGCCAAGTGGCACTGGACAGCAATCTTTCACTTTCTAGACACAATTAATGTGCTGATTACTTTGCTCATGCTTTTGACAAGCTGGTGATTTTTCTCTGATCAGACCCTTAAAACTACTGAATTTACTTGTGCTCTGCATTGCTTCGTAGGAGGGGTCCAACTGTTTCTGCATGTTTAAATGGGAAGTCAACCCAACTTTTGCTTTGGATTCATGATGACACTACAATCTAAAAATCAAATTCTTTGTCATGAGAACCCAAAGACTGTTGCATAGACCTTATGGAAAGTGACAGAGCATTCTCACAGCATGCTTCATTTAATCTCAGAGAAAGGGTAATGCTGAGAAGAAATGGCAGAAACTGGTAGCTGTCACAAGGAAATTTTTTGTCAAGTTACATTAATGGCTGAATTTTGTGATGCCTCACATTTTATCTTATTTCTACAAACCTTTATTCCCTTTGGGTTCTCTTCAGTAACCAGATAATGCAAGCAGTGATAATGTTTATGAGTCTGAGAAAAAAGGCTCACTTTAGGTTTCATTGCCACTAGCTTTCTATGGAAGAAAATGAGATAACACTGTATAGACATATCTCTTACAAAGCAACTAAACATTACCAGACTCTCCTTTAAGGTAATTTTATTTTTGGTGATAAGTTAAACATTTTCTCTGTCTTTTTATCTGCCATATGGAAGTCCTTTGGCTGACTTTGTTAATCATTCACTCTTCAGTTTGGAGTTAATTGTTTACTAACTGTTAAGCTGTTTGCACTAAAAAATGCCTTTGGGCTCTTAAATCAGTGGGAATATCTCACTAGGACAACAGAGATATGCCTGGTGCTACTACTTGGGTGTGCAGCTCTCACAGCTCCAGGCTACACTGCTGCTCTTTGTGCAGTCTCTGGGGATGGAGTGGAGTCACATCCCTGTGTGCTGGTTAAAATGGACAAGCAGCACTCACAGACAAATGCTCACACTGGGCTGCTGCAATGCCTTGGCTCTGAAATTCAAGCAAAAAACCCTCTAATGACCCTTCACTGAAAATGATGGGTTTGGTCTTTTCACAAGAAACCCTTTGTAGAAACTAAGTTTAACACAGAGGGAAATGGATTCTGTCCACCCTGGAAGCTGTGAGCTGCTTCTACACAAATGACACTGGTTCTGCAAGCCCAACATCCAGAATACCTCAGTGTATGGTTAGCAGGACAGCAGCCACCTTTCCACACTTGCTACTCCCTTCTTCTTGTTCAGCTGGAGCGTTGGATTTTGTGTAGTATACCAAAACTTCTGCAATTATTTCATACCCAAGAATGAACAACCAGCAGATTATAACTCACAGGGACCAAATTTGCACTACAACAGGCAACATTCAAGAGGAAACCTTTGACAGAGTTTGCTGAGTCTGTGAGCTGGTCCTGAACAGACAGAGGAAAAAGGATGACCCTCTAAGTGATGGCTTTGGGTAGATTCAGGGCTTCCACAAAATTCAAGTATAGGCAGGAAGGAACATAAAAATAGAAACACAGAGACACATTAGTCTCTGCAGTCTAGGTACAACTGCATTCCAGTTTAATAGGCCTGCATTTCCACCTGAACCACCCAGGACTGGGTGCCAGATCCCCATCTCAGCTGCATCCTCAGTAATGCTGGAGAACTTGAGTGAGAACAGCACAAGCAGGATGAGGTTCTGGCCCTGCATCAGCCTCAACTCCCCTCTCCAGTCTCATCCAACTTGCTGACAAACCTGGTTAGTTTTCTAGAGATACATGGCTGATTTACTCCAGCAATTTAATGAAATCATGGTTTTGAGTGACTGCTAATGGGATTGCCCGAGATAGGTTCAGCTGCTTAGTGTGTGTTACAGTTTTACTCACAAGCACAGGAAACATGCAAATCTATCTGGGATGACATGTAGGAAAACATTACAATCTCCCTCAAAAGACAAGCAAGGTTTTTATATGCACTTAATATAAATGTCTTGATTTCAGCTGGTTTTTCGCTAAAATTCTCTGCTTGTGTTTTTTCCAGGGAGACTTATTTTTCCATTGTAAGTTTTCAATTTGTTTCTGGCATCAGCAGTGTGCAGGAACAAAATATTAAAGATCAGAAAAGCCATAATCTCTTTCCCCCTCCCCCACTAATTTTACCTTGCAGAAAGTTCAGTAAAGTTTACCCCTCCCATCTGCACAGCAAAGACTTGAACCAGCACATGCTGGTGCAGTGAAATGAATCAGATACTGTGGCAGGCTGCTCCCAGATACCAGGGTTATCGAGTGCAATTTTACAATCTAATTAGCAAGAGGATTAAACACTACACCTCACTGAGGCAGTTGATCTGCTCTTGCCAGAGGGGTTTTACCACCTGTGTAGGGTAAGAAGTCTTTTTACTTGCTCCACAGAAGGTAAAATCACTCCATGGAGAAATAACGAAGCCTCAGCCACTCTGTCCAAGTCCCATCCCCGATTTAGGCTGCTCATTTTGGAATAGCTCTGCCAACAGATGGGCTTTGCAAGCATCATGTAGCAGAGAAATACTCATCTAGGCTGTCTTTTCACTGCTGTGGTCTCTGGATTGTGGCAATGGACAGATCCAAGCCTGGAAATTCCTGCTTTCCCTTCCCACCCAACCTTTCCTCACAGATAAATGACACTTCTGACACAGTTCTTAATGGTCTGTACATAAGGCAGCACCATTGTTTTGGGTCTCCTGGATTCCATACATGATTTGCTGAGACCAAAAAAACTAATTCCCAAAAAAAGAAAACCAGCAGCCTATTTTTTTAGGGTTACGCTTGGAGAAGAAGGATCAGAGGTGCCTAAAGCCCTTGATTTCAGATGCAGTGTGAGTGCTAGAGGTAGCCTAGTGGGGACACAAGAGAGGCAGGTGAAGATTTAATCAAGCTCCAAAACCCACGCTACAGAGTGGATCACCCTGAAGAGCTGAGAAGAGAAAGTAGAAAAGCTGAGAAAGGAGGCTTGACCCTTCTGGTGGAAATGTGTTTCCTCTCATGCAGTCAGAGCACCTGATCTCTCCTCTCCTCCCTTCTGATGCTCTGCACCAACCCTCTCATCCCAAGAGAGATGACAGTAATTGCTATAACGTGTGAAAGGCTGAGTCCTGTCATGGCAGGGCACTAATTTCTTCCAAAGAAATGTCTGTATTCCTAAGACTTTTGAAGGCATCTTTTAAGTACATGTCTTCCCTGGGGGATTGGCACTACTGGAGATATGTGGGTGCAAACACCCAGCCTAGGCATGTTCTAAACTACCATATGTGAGGATGGCTTGCCCTGCAGGTAATGATTGATCCCAAACAGATGTGTCTTTTAGTTTTTCTGAAGACCTCCTTACTCCTTGTCCTTTCTTTTAATGAATCAAAGTCCCATTAATAGCCTTCAGTGAATAAAAGGCTAATTGATGCACCTATTGTCTCTTGCTGCCTCCTCAGCAGTTCAGTTTTCTACCAAAACCTCAATTCTAGTTCATTTTAATAGAAGATGCTCTCTGTGAGCACCAAGCAGTGTCCAACTTGAATGTGACCAGAGGAGGGGAAAGCAGAATTGGTACAGAAACAATGCAAAGACAAATACAGAACTAAATTCCCTGTGGAAGCTTTTGCATCCACAGAAGAGCTGCCTGGTTGCTCCAAATCATCCAGTTCTGCAGCCTGCAAGCCAGCCTAAGCCTTGCCTCCTGGTGTCTCCACAGGTCTGCAGTGCCACAAACACTGTTGCTAACAGGCTCTGCATTCCCACCTGCAGGGCTTGTGCTCAGGGATAAGGTTATTTATATTAGATTTTATACAGAGATTTATATTAGCCATTCTAGTTGGGAAAATCAGAATACACAGGTCCCCCTCCTGGGCTGAGCTCAAGAATCAAAACTTCCCATGCCTTTTTTTAATGTATATGTTGAAAGTCAGCTTTCCCTGCTACCTTGGCATTAACTCTTCAGTTAGGAAAACTGTTGCTTATCAAATGTACTGCTGGTCCTGAGAAAATAATGCAATTTTCTTTTTGTAATAAATGGAAGCAGTTTTCCTGTCTCTTCATCCCTTTCTCTCAGATCATTTATAGCTTGACAATACAATATCAAGGGTTGGCTCAGCACCCCCAATCCACCATTGTCAGTGAATGGAAGGCCTCCAGCACCTGAGAGGATCAGCCCTTGAGTTCCCATCTATGTCTTATGAATCACACAAAAAAGAAACATAAATTGCAAGATTAAGTGACACTTATTTCCTCCAAAGCCCACAATTTTTAATAAATTATGAGCTACTTTTGTCCATTAATTCTTTGCAGACATTGAGACAAGTTTGGGAGAAAACAAACATCCTTCAAAAATCACATGAATCAATGCCAGCATTTGGTGTACATCACACCCTTGACTCAAGCTATGACATGTGTGGCAAGCCCAGACCTTGGTAGAAAAGTAAACACTTACCTTTCTTGGTTTCACTTTATCATGGTAGTCATATTGAAAAATCCCCTTGTAGCTAAGTCCTAACCACCATGGAATTCCCTGCTTGTCCTGAAAGAGAAAACAGAGGGAGTTACATTGAATATTGAACATGATGGGGAAATGCTGGAGATTTCCTGTGTTGTTGCTCAAGATGAAGATTTGTTTCTAAGTAATATCTTTGAATGGGTGTTGCTAAATTTCTCCCTGCCGAGTTCCTGCAAGTCACAGAGCTCCACAGTGTTTAGAAGAGATCTGTTTCCCTTTTGGCCATGACAGATAAAACAATTTAAAATACATCACATGTGATCAAGTTACTCAAAATGCTGTCAGGAGTGCTGAGGAGGTTTGACACGGGTCCCTTGTGCAGTGGTGCATCCTCTCTCTTGTCCCTGTAAATTATTCAGTCTGAACGCTCAGAGACTGGAGAGGAAGGAAAGCAAGTCACCCAGCTGACTTGAATTATGTGGAGGGATTTTAGCATTAGTCTTGAAAATGCAGCAGTAATGGGATCTGAGAGCTACCAAGTGATAAGGTCTGACAGGCTCAGACCCAACTGCTTTGTGTCTGAGTGTGCAATAAAATGTCCTTATGGAGTAATGGCTGATATCTGATCCCAGTCTCTGCAATTTACTGAGCTGAAGTCCTCAATGAAATTACATCTGTTCTGTTAATGTGATAGAGAATGGCAGGGTAAAACACAGCAAAACCAAACCCCCACATCAGGCAGAAGCAAACCCTGTTAATGTGCAATATTTGCTGCCTCATTGGTGCTCACTGCTGCTTATTGACCATGGGGAGCTCACTGGAATAGCTCTCAAGTCTTTGCAGTATTGAACATCCAGCCCAATCCACTAGATTTTTCTTGATCTAGAGCTGTCTAGGAGATTTGGATGCAAAGGGTGCTGTAGAGATCCTGTCCTCTGAGAAAAGATGAGGCTAATGCTTTTTGCAAAATAATAATAACTTTATTATTACATCCTATTAGCAGGAATAAACTAGAAACACATCTCCTGAGGCAGGTACAGTCAGATGTTTGTGTTTTTATAGTACCTCATGTGTACAAGGCATTAGAGATGTACGAAAAACCATATGATCTGTGCACAGAGATAATGATGAAACACATTAAAACTTCAGGGGTGATAAATGAGGGAATATGCTCTGGGGAATGTGGCTCTAGCTTTCTTTCTATGTTTATTGATTTCTCTACTTAAAAAACCCCAAATCTATGAAGCTGGTCAGGAAGCAATATTAATAATAATAATAATAATAATAATAATAATAATAATAATATGAGGCTGGAAAAATTTCATGATAAATCATTAGACAAAAGAAATGAGGAACTGCATGAATAACTGCATGAAGTCCACACAGAAGTGGAGAGCTGTCTGGAGATGAGAGTGTGCTACCTCTCTCTAGCGTACAAGACTGTTCTGGCATTAAAAAGATGTACAATCTCTGTATCCATCTACATATCTCATGTCAGGGGAGCTACAGTATGCAGGTCATGGCTGGCCCTAAACAGGTGTTCATGGATCTGCCATCTGGGAAAGATCTGACCTCTTGGAGCTACAGAAAAGACTGTCTGTCAGAGATGTGTCTGGCTTGTCCCTTTGGTGGTGGTTCACTGGCATTGCCATGCTGCTGACTGAGCTGAACACTCCAGCACAATAGGACTGCAGGAGTTTTATCTCCAAGAACAGGATTTTCCTCTTTGGAGCTGTATTTACTAAACATGCACACACAGCTGAAATAAGTTTATCCTACTTCAGGAAGTAAAACAAGACTTTAGTAGCAGTGTATTGTATTCTGAGAGCAGGATGGCTGTTTGTACCTCTCTCCAACAAGAGCTTAATTCAGGGAAGGACCTTCTTGTAGCACGTACCTTTACTGCGTAATAATGCACTCCGTACGTTGGGAGGGACTCTACAATGCTCATGTAACTGCAAAACAACACAGAAGAGAATAACACATCTGAGAAGCTGAGAGGATGATCTGAAAAAAAACTTTGATAAATAAATAATTATGCCAAGAAATACTTTAAAATGAAGCATTGTGAGATTGGAAGCATAGTTACATATTGTATTTACAGTTCTGTAGAAATACTTCGTAATAAAACGAAGGTCACAAAGAAATCATTCTTGTTTCACTTACTTCACAATTGCTTGACCTCTTGTCTGACCATTTAGTTTCTTGTAATGTTCAATGACTCGATCCTCACTGGAAAGGAAAAAAAATTGGATGTTTTATATAATGCCATTATCATGACTAAAAATCTTGCCAAAAGCTGAAGAGATACTTCTGTTACCACAGCTACTGACTGATGGAATCAAAAAATGCCAAGCAAAACCATTAGATGAAGGGATTTGGTGCAGAGCAGGGTAAACAAACGGGGAGTCACAGACTGAGAATAAAAATGGTTTTCTAAGAGTTGGGTCTCTGGAAAAACCCTTTTCCCTCACAAACATGATACCTACTTGTACACACTTTTTCCTTTCTGCATTCCTTTCCTTCCTTACAAATGATACCCACAATACTACACTGAGGGCAAACAGATTTGTGTGGGAGCTGCTCAAGATCTGCTTTGTCCTAACTGCTGTAACTTCTTTTCAAGCCCATCATGTCCCCTAAAAGATGGGCAGAACTGTCAGAAATTGGTGGCCAGTCATAGCCCTAAGACTGACAGGTTCCTTCTCACTGCAGGTGCACCATTGGAAGTACTCTGGAGCAATCTCTCTCAGCAGGAATTCCTAGTGTACACAGAGGCAATAATAGCAGCAATGACAAGGGATATCTCCAGGTGACTCAAACTTGAGTTTCTTTACTCCTAAAGTATTCATGTGCCTTTGCTTACTTTAGAGTTATACTAACTTTCATTCCCCCAGCAACTCCTGGCCAAACACTGGGAGCTGGCATGAGCTGGGGCCCATTTCCAACAGCTCCTTGGAGACTAAAATCATTTTATGTTTTAAGCAGACATGAACTATGTCATCCTGTGTTCCAAGGTGAACCATGGAGGCTGTTCCACACCAGTGGGCTTCTGTGCCAGACAACAATTCTGAGTGTGTGCCTAAGCAGTAGAGATGGAGCATCCAGGAGAGATCAGCATGACCCAAATGAGAGGTTGAGAGACAAATATAAGTTCACTTCTAAAGAATTCCACTCATTCTTCTCCAGTGAATGGGCAGCAGAGCTATTTGGTGCACACAATCAGCTGTGCTAGCAGGGTCCCAGCATGGCAAAGGGTAAGCCAAGGTCCCAATGTAATGCACACAGGACTGGCACTGCTACACTAGCATGACAGAACACTGACTGAGAACATGTCTGAGAACACAGGACTCAGGTTTAAAACCAATTTCTTGCTCTTTATTTGGTATTTTATTTTTGATTCCCAAGGACAGGGAATCTGTTGAGTCCCCTGGAGATTCTGTACAGAACTTGCCAGACCAAGAGGAGGGGAACCTAAACTAGCTTCATGCCACCTTAGTGCCCTCCCCACCTGGCCCTGCATGAGCTTCCATCCATGTCTGTGTCTATCCCATGCCACCATGCTGCAGGTGGTTTAGGGCAATGTGAACTGGCATTCCTCCTTCCCTGCATTTCCTGGACCCAGCAGGATCTCCTAATGGGGCCTTTCAGCTGCCCACCATGTGGTAATCCTTCCCCAGGCAGAACTGAAGCCAGCTGTATTGCTGGGCAGTGTGAAGGAGCACAGCAGGGTGGGATGATGGGAGATGACCTCACCAGGGCTGCTCAGAGATGCCCATGGGGGCTTTTGTGGAGGACTGCAAAGCATTTCCCCAGCCCAGCTTAACATGACTGTATCGTCTTCTCATTGCTGCCTTCCCCATTTGCACCCCTGTGCCAGAAAGGACAGAATCTCTTTTAGAGAGAGAGCCAGAATCTCCTGAGCCACAACAGCTTTTAGAAAGAAGAGCCACAGGGAAGCTGAGGGTTGTGCAGCCCAAATAATGAAGAGAGAAAAGAGAACCAGAAACATCAGTGAAGCAGCAAAGTGCAATTCAGAGACAGTGTCACATTGTCAGCAGGGCCAGCTTTTCCCTCACAAGCCCGTGGTTTATCTGAGAGGTAACTGCTTTCCTTACTCACTCACCAAGTGGCTTCCCCCATTCACCCTACAAAAATAAAAGAGCCCTTTTCAGAGCTGTCCCATCAGCAGGCCACAGCAGGAACACGGTGCTGACTGAGCCAGTGACACATTACAGGGTAAAGGAATGGTCCAGCTCTCCCATCAAATCCCTCAGAATCATTTTAATGCTTAGAAAATGATCTCTAAATTCTACAGCTATGAAACATATTCAGCACACTGATCCAAGCAAGTACCACAGATGTTATGGGTGTGTACATGAAGGCAGAGCCTGGGTCTCCTGCCATGATTATCATAAACAGGATTACTTTTGGAGCAATAACTGAATTACATGAGTGTTCAGTATTGGAAGATCTCCAAAAAACATCATTCTTAATAAAAAAGATAGACAGAGAGGGCTTACAGCCCTTTGAAATTACCTCTTAAAACCATGATTACATGTGGATGCAATTCCTCTGTCTCAGACAGGAACAAACCAGGAGTGACTTCTCAGAAAATAATGGAGTTTCTCCACTGGAAAACACTCCTAGTTTTATTTTCCACTCTGTGCAGTTTATTGCACAGATCAACCTCTCATATTGCTGCCATTCAAGGAAAGGGTAGATGTACCTGGACATGCTGATTACTTAATGTGATTCCTGATGTGCTCTGCTTTCTTACAAATTCTTATTATAAAACAATTGATACATTCCTAGAACATACTCCTTGGGTAGGGAAGGCAATTGATGCCCCATTTCCCTCCAAAGGACAGATCAGATGTCAGGGAGCCTTCCTGAACAGCAGGACAAAGAGCTGTGTTTTTAACCCATGCTAGAAATATGGGATAGTCCAGGCTCTCTCCAGTTCTTCTAAGCAAATGCAGGCAATGCTATACCCCCATTGCTCTGTCAGGGTACTGATGATTTTCCTTAGTAAAATGTTTTGTGCTCTACAGATGTTAAGTGCCAGGCACATATCACCTTTGTTTCTTCTTTCCTTTGAACAAAAAATATAAAGCCTAAAATATCAATCAAGCCATGTTTAAGAGTGGGATCTGTGGCCTTTCCCCTTCCTGCAGCACTGGCCTTGTCACTGGGGAAAGAAACATTGACTCCAGAGTAGAATTCATCCAATCTGTTTTGGACCGATTCCTTGGGAGGAGGTTATGCTGCTTCTCTCTGCAAAGGGAGCTGAGGGCACCTAGCTCAGATAGCAATGTCCACACTGGAAAAACATTCACAGTTACAACAAACTGTGTGACAGTCCTTCCTTTAACAATTCTCTGAACTTCCTTTTCCTTTCACTGCCCTGTGCAAGAAGGATGATCCAGCACAGAGGTTCCTTTCTGCCTCCAGCTCTGGGTTGGAGGGTTAAGCCCAACACATGCCAAGGAAAACAAGCAAAATCATTCACGGGTCAGAAGGAGCATTAGCAGAGCCTGTAAACATGCTCCCCTATCATTTCAGCTGTTCATCTCCAGCAGCTGCCATGCTGCTACTGACAGCTGGGAGAGTGCTGGGACACTGCTGGGACCACCAGCTGACATCTCCTCTCCCCCCTGCTCTGCCTTGTTGCTGTGCTGGTGACACAGAAACTCATTCACAGTGCAGAGCTGGCAGAGGATGCTTAACTAATGTGGAGACAGAGACACAGAGGCTGCCGAAGCACTGCTGTCTGTTTGCCAGCTCATAAAACATTCCCCCCAAAGCTGCAGAAATTAATACATGGATAATATTCTGCAGCAGACAACTCTGATAAAGATCTTTAGAAGTAACAAGAAATCCCTTCTGTCCCAGCAGCTTATAGAACTGGACAGCAGACAACTTGCAAGCAAATGTAGGCCTTGATTTTCTCATCATCAGATCCAGATTTTCAAAGTGAGTTCCTCCCTCCCTCTCTTCCCAGCATACTGAGCTGTTTTAAATAGCTGTCCATTCACTGCTGTTCCATAGTGTTATTCTGTTTCTAACCTGACTTTCCCATTTTGAATACATTATTGAACAAATAATGTCTTTATTTGCAGTCATATGCTGTCCCTCTGAAGCCACCAGCACCTCTTAGGCCAAGGGACCAAGAGCTGGACCAGGGCCTCAGGTCTGTGTTGAACCAGAGAAAATCACTAAATAGTGATTTTCAGCTGATGTTTTCAGAGGTGGGTATTCTGGCAACACTGATGCTAAAGCAAGCTCACATTCAAAGTCTGTGGGAACCTGTGAGAAGTCTATCTTCCCCCTGGTCTGTTGAAAATCCCAATCTAGCATTCACTTTTGTGTTGTTGCACCTCATGTCGGCCTTATTACTGACAACTGAGTACTGGGCTGGCTTGTTAGGGAGGATCTGAAATGAGGTAAAATGCAATGACATGTGTCTGGAAAGGAGCACTGTGAGTTAACACATTTCTAAAGGTTCTCTCCAGTCTCTGTGATTGGTTTTGTGTTTCCATGCATGGCCAGGAGAAATCAAAACTCAGGGCCTCAACTCCTGGACTGTGTGGGAGGACCAGAAGATCAATTTTCATTTAAAAAAGCCCCTTCTTTCTTCACCAGTAATCAGAGATGCTAAAAGATGCTTGAGAACAAGATGAGCAACTGATTATTCTGAACCTGGAGAGAGCTGCAAGAGATTAAAGTGAAGGGAAAGGCTTCAAGAGTATGGAACCAGGAGACTCCATGAAGGTGGAACCAGAGGCACAAACTGTGCTGGTCTAAGAATCCAGGACTCATCCCACAGGTGTTGCTACATTTGGTAGGTGCAATAGCTGATGCTTTTTAAGGGTGTGTGATGGAAATGTATTATTTTATGAAGATCTTTTACAGCACCTTGCCAAAGGTATCATAGTACTTACTTGATTATCTATTTTATTATCTCGTAATCCACTTCAGTTGAAAAAAATATAGTACAAAGTTCTTTTGTTTGTCTGTTTTAAACTAATTAGAGTCATTACCCACCCAATCTTTAATGTTTTAAAAGCTTCTTTCCAGGGTTGGATATTCACTTCTGACTGCCTGCACTCATGCTGAAGAACTGCAGAATAAAACTGACTGCTCACAGAAAAGGTTTGGATAAAATCTGCATCTGGTACATAATCTGCATGTGATGTGAAGAAGTGTCAGAGAACACAGTTTTAAAAGTCTGCTCCCTTAGATCACTGAAGTTTGATCTGTAATTTTGAGGCTTTTTGTCTGATTCACCAACAGACGCTTCCTGAGAGCATTAAATGTTTCAGAGGGTGTTTAGGAAAAAGCCATCATTAAAAAATAATGAACTACTAATGTTAAAGAGGCCTTTTAGACCTGCTTACTGACATGAAATCACAAGGGAGTCACAGGACTGTAGCCTCTGGTTTTATTGCTCCATTGGCAACACCACCTTCTCAACCTGTGACCTGCTCTCAGTCACATGAGAGCCCCCACAAAATTAAGTACAGCTGCAAGTGCTGTACCTTGTGTATAAATGCAAATACTCATATTCTGAGCACGAGGATTTTACATGGCTCTTCTCACTATGTGGCACTTCATTAAGACCTTAGGCCATGTTGTTGCTGAAGGGTCAGATTTGCCTTTCCTGCCAGTGCCTACTTGTTCCCACTCCTCCTCCTGAGATGGCTTTCAGCTTGAGCTCCCAGTCTGTCAGTCAGCCAGGCCACCTGGAAATGTACTGCTTTTGAGTGTATGAAGTAGTTTTTGGAAAAAGAGATGCTCCTAAGAGGAAGACCATTCTTCTTCAATGAGATGGCAGCCTACATTTATCATTTCTCATGAAGATTTGATTTGGTTCTTAGCGAGAAATATCAGGAGATTGTGATGATCCACAGTTATTGTGTCAGTGATCCTAATATCAGCTGGAGACTCTGAATTTCTCCTTATACTCTCAGAAAGGAATTAAGAGACCTCACAATGAGCTTGCCTATGACTTGACATTAGGTACAGTTAATTCCACTGTTGTAGCCATGCTAGGGGAAGAGGATGACCTTTTTGGCAAAGAGAAGGACTGACATCATAGCCTGCAAACTGCTTTGTTTTCCCCTGCCATCCTCAAGATTACCAAAATGCAGAAATGAAAAGAGTAGCAGATAAAGAAGCTCAATCCAACCCCCAGGCTTGCAGCCTAATGCTTTAAAGGCAAACATGAAAGAGCAACAAGCAGAAAATGGAGTGAAAGTATCTCCCCTTTAATGAATAGTCTTTGCCCAAATTCTTTCCTATTTGCACAGATAAAAGGGATATGCAGGGTGGCACAAAGAATCTATGTGTGTGGCATGCAAAATCTAAATGTGACCCTGCTCCTACCTTGAGCTTGTTTTTCAGTGCAATAAAGACAGAGCAAACAAGCATCCACCTCCAAACACTGAGTTCATATAAGATTAATTCAGCTATGCCATACAGAGAGGATTTACAAGATGAAACTGAATCATTCAACACAGGGCAGTGCAAAACATTGACATTTCCAACTGGGAAAACTCTTTGACAAATGCAAAGTGCTGTGAAAGTAAATGGCACATTAGGCCTTCAGATTTCATCAGGACATTTGCACACTTCCAGTGGATTTTTGGCCAGGCATTTGGCAGATGGGGAAACCGAGGCCCAGGATAGTAGCTCTACTTGTGTAAAACCATGCAATGAGTCAGTGACAGACCCAGAGGCAGAGGGCAGGAATTTCTGCTTCCCATTCCACTGTCAGACCCCACTGCCAGAGCCAGGTCCTGCACAAGGACAGTGACACATTACCAGTAAGCGAGGGAAGGATGCTCCTTCAGCGCTGGTGTTGGAAGGGCTGGCAGCTTCTTTAATTCATTCCTTACAACTTCATTGCTGAAAGAGAGTTCAAAAGGAGGATCAGGCTACAAGAAAACAACCACAATATTTGATATGACTTGACCTAGCTGGCAGGCTGCTATGGCTCTACATCTGTTCCTTCTTAACAAAAGGCACTGGGGTTTCCTTTTTCTCCTCTCTTTATTTGTTTTATGGCAGCCCAGTTAACTTTTCCCTCTATTATCAAAATTGGAGAGAAGCTCTCCCAGATGGTTATGTTGAACCACTTCCTACCAGTGACTGGACACAAAAGCCACAATGTCACATGTCACTGAGCAGGGTGTCACAGATATGTTCATATAGGGAAAAAAATATAAGAGGGAGACAAAGTGATGCTTTCAGCTGCAATTACAGATTTTTATTTAATGCCTAACAAACTGCTGCAAAAAGTAATAATTTGCTTTCTTCACATCACAGGTTGTTCTTAACCAGTTCCCCAGTGACCTGTCCTTTGCATAACATCTTCACTGATAAGACTCCACTTTGAATTTGGGTCCTGCTACACAAAACCTTCCTACACAACCACCTCACTAACATCCTTCTCCCTGCAACCTCCAGTGGCCACAATGGCCAGCTGGAACGGCAACACTGTGCAGCAGAGAGCAGGGAGAGCTCATCAAATGGGAGGCAGATTCTCACAGATGAAACCGTGGGATTTTCTCCTACAAACCCCAAATGCCTCCCTTCCCACTTTTAAACACACATGGAATTGTGCGCACATAGAAAAAAAAAAGCCTCAAAGGCTTGGGAAGGAAGGCAGTGCTGCTATTAATTTTTTAAATTGTAGAAATACACAGCCAAGAGGGCCAGACAGGACACGGAGGAGTGCCAAAGAATTCATGTTTATTGGCTTACTTCGTTCCAGCAACTTTTTCTGCCTTCTTATACCCTTCCCTTTATCCTACCCAAACGTGTGGCTGTCCTGGAGCTGCAGAGACAGATATCTCTTCCAGAACTCCAGATTTCCCAGCCCACTGGCTTCTCCCATGAGGCTGGCAGACAGGCAACAGGTAGTTTTGACCTCTCTGGCTGTAGACCGGAGATCCTGACATCTGCTAAAGACTTGAGGAGCTCGTGGACATCCCAGATCACCCTGGGTTTCATCCCTGCCTCTGGGACAATCTGTATGTTGACTTGGAGAGAAGTGACACTGCTTCAGTTGTAAAAATCTTCCCACAGCATTTCTCCATTTGCACATCCCAGGAGCAGGCTCTGCCTGAGACCTAGGTGCGTTTGTCTTAATTGGAGTCTGCAGGTTAATTGCTAGGTTGGGCCATAGGGTAAACCACTGACATAAATCCTGGAGCAGGCATTTTGGGCATGTCTACAGACATTTGTTATTTATTATTATGGTAGTTCCTTGACAATCAATTAAGTAGTTTCAAAACAAAACCAAACTTCTAGTCAGGACAAATCTGTGAGAGATGGCCAAGTCTCAATGAGGCTGAAATTTTGCAGAGTGAAGATGTGCTGAACAGCACACAAGAACTGAGGCAACTGCTGCCATGCTAAGCACCTGGAAAACCACTCTGTAACACCTCCTATGCCAAGCCAAAAGGCTCTTGACAAACAGTGTTTGAACACCCACTCCTGCCCAAATCCCATGGTCACTTGGCCATCAGAGAGCTCTTCTCCTTCTAAGTGCAAATGCTCAAAACCTATTCAGATTTATTCTTCCATGGCAGGTAAATATCTGCACAAGTCTGAACATGAAGCTGCTCTGCACTGTGTTATCTGCTGATCTGGAAGCTCTGTTCTGTGACTGACAGCCTAGAAAACAAGTTGCTGCTTTTTAGAGTTTATTGCCAAGAGCTGTCTCCTCCACAGCATGTGCATACTCAGCTCTTACTGACATTTTTGACATTTTGAAAGAAACTGGGAAAAAAGAATAGAACTTGGGACAGTCAGAGTACAAGCAGAAGTAACTGCCCTCAAATGAAGATTTTTTGAGGCTGGCTGCTCAGAGAAGGAAGTTGAGAGATTTCCAAAACTTTTCTGGGAAAGCACAGAGTGAGTTCCAAACAGGGACTTTCTGAGCCCAGAAATCTATCAAATAGGGCAAGATTAGTGGTGACTAACGATCCCTGAGAGTCTGGGAAAAACTCTGAGTCAGTAATGGCTCCTATAAAAGAAAGGGCTAACATCAGTCAGCTCTGTTTTTTCTGTCAGTGAGGCACAAAGTTTGCCTGTGCTGTGACAAGGTTTTTTAAGAATCAGAGAAAAAGACATTTTTAGTGATGTTGGGCAGGATTAACGTTTCTGCTCAGCACCTAGAAAATATTGTAAGGATAGTGCCTCAGCCTCAAAGCACCTCAAAAGTCAGGTAATAACTTCCAGGAACAAAAAGGTATTTCATTCTGTGATCCATGCATTCACAAAGCCTTCTGGCAAGACTCATCTCAAGACAAATTAATTTAGACTCCCAAAAAGATGTCAAATCAATAAAAAGAAAAAAAAATAATGACTCAGGTTGCATTTGAACTAGTGGTCATGAGGTCACTTTCCTCTTGGCTCCTTTTAAAACACTGAACCCCTCAATTTTTAAAATGTTTCCAGCAGGATCTCAAGTGCTTTTTACTTATTGCCTTTCATGCTTTTTCTAGTGAAATGTCTCAGTGTGTTTGTTTTATTACTGTATTTAGAAAGTGTTTGTTTAATCCAGTCACTTGTGCTGCATTTATTTTATATTTGGAAGTGTCCAGCCTCCAGGGCTGATATATACAGAAGGATATTTAGGACACAGATTCATTAATATGCAGGGGAAAGGCTCCAAAGACACTTTCTCTCTGTCCGCTAGACCACTTTATTTCTTTTTTTTCCTATGGTGGAAATGGTAATATTTAAAGGACTGAATAACAATATGAAACCTGAACTGGAAAAGCCATCTGCATGGGTTCCTGAAAGCTGGTTAGAAAGCTGAAGTAAGGTTGACTAACAATGGACCTAGAAAACAGAACTCCTTTTTCTTGGGTTTGTTCTGGTAATGCCTGTTTAATGAGTCTTGTCAAATCAATTAGTCACCACCTCTTAGTATCTTTATCTACACATGGGGGCAAAAGGGCCTGCCTAGAATTTCATAAATATTTTGTGAAAAACAAGTTTTTGCATACTGTCTAAAATAATTTTGAGCAAGATTACATATGCAGTTGTCTCAGGAAATCCATACATTTTTCAGCATGTGTAATAACAATGATCAGGAACAAAACAAAACTGCAGGTTAAAGTTACAAACTCTTCTCAGCATGGTGATTCATTCTGTAGAATGCAGGAGGAAATGCATACCCTGAGATTCTCAGATTAGATGGTACTTTTCAAAATACAGTGTTTAGGACTTTACCATTAGGCTGCAAGAAAGCAGGCCAGGTTTTCTAACCCTTTAATACATTCTAATTGGTTAAATGTCACTTGCTTACACAGAAAGAAAAGTAAGCCTAAAACTATGTTAGATTACCATCTGCCCAAACGTTGAAATTATTGTGAAATTCTGCCTAGCAGGAAACTGGCTGTTAGCTTTCCTCCCTTGTTATTCTTTCATGTATTGCTGGGAGACACTTGGAGTTCAATTGAAATGTCTCATACTTTTTAACTGGAAGAAATGTAGCAATGAGGAACTAGCTACAGTGGTTCAGGATTTTGTTTTACTCAGAGGTTTTTCTTTCCCATCCCCAAACTGAGGGACAAATGATCTGTATATTCCATTTATTGCTGCTTTGACATACAAGCTGTTTAAGGCTGAAGAACTGGATTATGAACATTTAAAAACAAAGCTGGTATGAGTTTTCCAGAGATTTTGGGACTGGACTCTCAATCTAGGATTAAATTAGGAAAAAATCCCAATTATTTTAACAATAGGCTGTATTCCCCCACGAACTAGCCAGGGCAGCCTTGGTAATTCCTTTATGTAGGCCTAAAGAGAGTCACACCTGTAGGATTTGTGTTCATCTAAGGAACTGAAATTTGTCCTGCCCATGCTCTGCCAACCAAGCCTGACTCAGCTCCCAACTAGAAACAAGATTAGTTTGAGCTAATAACCTTTAGATCTGTCTGCAGGGTACTAGTTTAGGACCTTTATACATGCAATTCTATGCCTTTAAAGTCAAAATGTTTGCAGCTAATACTGAAAAGCACAGATCCAATCTTAAGTGTCCAGTTCCACCTGAAAACCAGCTGAACAAGGAAACTTGATTGTCTGAAATTCAATGGTATGTTCCAGACTAAAAGTAAACATATTTAAGTCTTGTCAGCTGAAGCATTCTCTTTCAGTAATGTGAAAATGCTCTTCTTTAGTGCAGAGGACTAGGAACTTCTTAAGAAGAAAAGTTTAAACCTCATTCTGCCTGAATCTTTATCAACTAAGAGATGGAGACCTCTTGTAGCAGAAATACTTAGTTGATTTAAATAGGATCAGGAACTCAGGGTTTCTGATGAGCTTGTTTTTGAAATGAAACACACATTAGAAATGGAAAAGGACTTAAAAGAATTGGTCACTATAGCTTCTAAACTCATCTGTCAGGGCTGTTGTGGCATTTTACTTCAAGACAGGTAAGGGTGACTTGGACTGTGTTCCCTAGGCTTAGCAAAACCTGGGAATTACTGTGATATCCAAGGTAACAAGAAGCAGTGATAACAGACTCATGCATGGTAATGTCCTACCAAAGGATCGTGTTTGAAATGACATGAACTTCTTTTTGGAAGAGGAAAAAGGAACACTCTGATCACAGTGATTATTCTGAGGTATGGGATGATTTCCTCAAAAGCAGCAGTGGGAGCGGCTGCCACTGAGGATGTATCAGTTCACAGAGGTAGAAAACTGACTGTTAGAGTTTGTAGGATTGATTCTGCTTTTTCAGTTCCCACAAGGCCCAAAGAGCAAACTTGCAACTGCATTCAAGAGTCCTGAGCCAGCTGCAGATCCTCCAGGTGGCTGCAGTGGGGTTGGGAGGCAATCCCACTCTGGCCACCCTGGGCGGGTGCCAACACGCAGCTGGAGCTGTGACACTTTGGCTTTGACTGTCCCAGCACCTGAGGTGATCAGCAGTGACTCACAGGAAGGCTCCCATGGGGAACAGCAATTCTCCCATCACCACCAATGAGCCAGAGTTTATGCACTTTTCTGGATGGGGGCCAGAGAGAAACTCCTACTCACAGGCTATAAATCTGATGGTGGCAGTAGACAGGACAGGTGTGGGAAAGCTGCAGTCTGCGTTCCACGCATGCAACCCTTTAGAATTAAATTATTTCTTCAAAAACAAAAAGTTCAAGAGTTCAGCCTTCACACAACATATGTTGCCATGCACAACATATAATCTTTAAATTTCAGCAGCAAGACAATCACAACTGCAAAGCTTCTCTGTCTCAAAGAGTGGGCACTTCTACTTTAAACAGTATTTCAACATCAACTAATTTCAGACACTGAAGCTCACTTGATCCCTAAGAGAAGTCAGAACATTTGCCTTCACCTGCAGTTCCTCTGGCCAGCCTGAGGCTTGGTTTGCCTGCCAGATTTTACACTGCTGATACAATAACCACAAATCTCAGCAGGCAAAAATCTTGACCACAACAACCTCATGTTGACTTCAGTAGCACCTGGATCTCACCCAGAACATAAACCTGTGTCAGTGCACATTAGATGGGAGCTGCTGGACAGACATCTCTGGGAGATGCCGAGTCTTCTAGACCACAGAGGATCAGGGAAGCATTATTCTATCTTCCTCTATGAACAGCCTTCAAACTGGCAGATTGCTTTGTCCCCAAAGTCCATTTATAAATTAAGATCCCTGGCATTGCCCTCAAGTTATTATTATGACACCCCTCCTGTGCCTGACTTGGATGTAAGGAATCCCCCTTCCACTTCAAACCACTGTGACCCACAGGAGAAAGAACTCAGAGCTGTTTTCATGGGCCTGGTGATGACTGATGTGGTGGGAGCAGTTAACACCATGGCTTGAGATATTTTCTGTGCCCTCAGAGAAGATTCCCCATTTTCTGTGGTCTAGAGAAACACACTGTGATAAACTCAACCAATCCTTTTACAAGGGAAATCACACAACTTTTAGCAGGTGGATACTTTCCACCAGCTGTTTCCATTTCTGGTCTGGAAAAGATAAAATGCTTTCAGTCTTGTTACTCTGAGCTATCTGATTCCTTTCTGTTCTGAGTTTCACAGTCTGAATGTACACTTTCCAAGTGTGTTTTCACCATACCCAAGACATTCTGGCAAACAAATATTGCTCTTCTTAGCAAAACCAGTGGTTTATCAGAGGTTGAAATGGCAAAACTTTAGTTGGCCTAACTCTTCTGGACCGAGTGCTTGGCAGTGCATTGAAAACCTAGACTGAAAAGTCAGAGCCACACGCACTCCAGTACCCCCTAAATAAACAGTGCTGATAGCCAAGTTATTCCAACTTGGACAGAACTGAAAAATGAAGCAAGACTGGGTTTATGTCTCTGTGGTCAGATGCAAATCAGGATTTTGCAAGTTCATTAAAGTTTTGAGAAATGATAAGGCAGAGCTTAAACTTCCTTTTAGCAAGGGCTACCTTATGTCATCTCAGATTCCATGATGGGCAGGAGATATCTAAAATGCACTTCCTTTTCACTGATTTGTCACCATTTTAGCTGGCTGGAAGTTCCAATCCACCAGAAAGTGGAACCTGCCTGCTCTTCATGGCCTCCTATCATTACAGTCATGTTTCAGTGTATCGCAATGCTGACAAAATTAAGACAATTTTTGGGCTCACCTGACAATTCAACCCCACTGCCCATTTTCTTTTCTCCTCTGGAACTAACTTTAATGGATATTGTAGTCCTCCAGACTATATGAAATTTTTAGCATCACCAGTTCTCCTGAGCTTCACACTGAGAACTTCCATGTTTCTCACACGAGACACCAAACAACCATCTGACCTTCAGCTGCTATTAATGCATAAATCACAGACACGGTCAACTTACAGGAAAATTATTGGGCATTTCATTAACAGTCTTCTGAAACACCAAGTACAGTGACCTCATTGAGTTTCTTACAGTAAGTCTGAAGATTTGGCTCAAGGGATAGCAGATGTTCAACAAAACCAATTATCGAATCAGTGATTTTGAGAACTGTCCAAATTCAAACTGAAATATCAATCAGTGATGGAATTTTAATGCTGCCTCTGGCAGGATCTGTGATATAACAGTGATTTTAGAGTCATTTCCGTAGCAATTTCCTTCCGAAGACTAGTCTATTTCCTGAACTTCATGACCACATAATGAGATTTGTCAACAACAAAATCACAAACAATGCTGTTTGCAAGGCATGCTCTGGCCAAAGGTTGTGTTTAGTGAAGAAATTATGTCAGGAAACATGATGTCTATGTTAGCCATGCTCACACAGCTGCATTGCTAACAGAGGCAATCCTGTTGCTACACAGCTACAACTGAGTTGCATGTCTCACACGAATTTTACCAGATTTATTCTCACATCACACAACGGCAGAAATTTTTTAAGTTCACCTACCTTGAAAAATCTCCCTTTGCCTCCTGTAAAACAAGGAAGAGGGGAAAAAAATATAATTAAAAGCAGGGAAAAAAAAAGAGAAGAGAAGAGAAGGCTGTTCAAGATTTTCCATTTGCAAAATTCATTTAGCAGCAATTTCCTGTTGTAATTGATTCCTCATGCAGGTTTTGGAACCAGTATCTAATGTCAAGTGCCATGATAGAGTGAGTTGGGCAGATTAACAAACAAAAGATCTAATATAGGGCCAGATGATTACTCATTCTGCTGTGGATACCTAAGATACTACAGGAAATAATGCCAGTAAATAAGAAATTCTGGGTGCTACATTAATAGAAAATCTCTGAAGTCTCAGTGGCTTTGCAGCCTCTGAGACTGCAACTCCCCTGACTTTTTTACAAGTATTCTGGCCATTTTCTAGTACCTAGACTTTCAAAAAGCTTGCTCACTGTCAGCTTTCAAGGGGATGCAAGACAAGTTTCTCTAATTCCTTGCTGGGTGTTTGGGGGAGTATTTAGCTCCCTTATTTGTACGTCTAGGTACTTCTATTTATTACCATCACAGCCTGACATTAAAGGGTTGGATAATGTTCCATTACAGTAGTTAGTCTTACTGCACACCTGGAGAATCCCCAGAATCTGGTGAGTGCCCTCTGCAATAGATTTAGCACACATTTTGCATTTTCCATTTACCACAGACAATATGCCTTTCATATGATTCATGCTGAAGCACCTCATTTGCCACCAGCTACACAGAAAGCACAGTGCAAGAATGCAATTTGTGCTGTGAGGGAGTTTCCACTGCCAAAAGGACTGCGCTTTGTGCTCAGGTCTTTTGTCTTTACATCCATTCATCTACCCACAAAACCAGCCAGCCCACGTCCAGTGGTGTTTCAGTCCTGAGGCTGGGGTAAAGTTCAGAGCTCTGCTGGTACTTTAATTTGTTCTGGTTATAAAACAATTTGAAATAAGGCTGCAGAATAAATCACTTGAGTTCTGACAGACCTTTACTATCTTTCCATTTCCCTCTGAGTGAACTGAAGGGCAGACAAGCACTTCTTTGGTTCATAGGAAGGAGTCCTTGAGCATGTCATGATTACAGTTCAACACAGAACAAAGCCCAAAGGATTTGCTCTTGCCTGCATGGGTGCAAGCACACTGAATTTAAAAACAATTTTGTAGGGTATATTCTTCATAATTCACTGCTTTGACTTAAATGCTGCAGCAAGAAGTAGAACAAAATGCACTATGATTCCTTTTGTTTTGCTTGGATCCTGTCACAAACACGGGTTGTAGTAGTTTCTGGTTACAGGCAGCAAAGGTGTGGCTTGTTTTGACTGTTTCATTAAGTTACACATCAAACTACTACAGGAATAAGCGTAACATCCTGTGTTTGTGGCAAGAAACAATCCCAGCAACAAGGGTTAGTTACAGCTCTGGGTCTGGCTGTACAATTACTAAGCACTAAGTTATTCACTAGGATGAGCAGACAATAGATTCATAACCCCACTGCTGCTCCTCACAATGAGCCCGTTGTTTGATGTGTATTCCCCCAACAGCCAATATGTGATTTCTATAATGTGCTGCTAATTGAGTCCTCCATCCTGACTCTCTCACTCCATTCTTGTTGCATAAAATGATTTTAATGAAGGTTCAAATCCCTACACATTAATTGCTTCTTTAACGTGGCAAGTGCTCTAGAAGTGCAGTGCATTGTTATTTATTAGTGCAGTCTGATGAGCTGGTTTGTCTGTTCACATGGCTCCTCATAGCTTCATGGCTGATGGGAACAAAATTAAAACTACAGACTGTAAGAGAGGGGAAACAAGGATCATCTGACAATTACATCTAATCTGCTCCCACAGTCATGCTTCTAAAAAGAGAACTTTCACAAAACCCACCCTCACTACCCTGAAAAGGTTCCCTTCTGGGAACCAGACATTTACCAAACACTGCTTGGTCATTTACTCTCTGACCTTTTTCCCTCTTCTTGAAGACTGGAACTTTGAAAGATAATATTTAGAAAGGTCTTTAAACCATTCTGCCCATGTTGGAGAACACAGACAGTTGCATATGTAGAAGCTTATGTACCTCATCAGAGGACCAAGCCCCACTGGGAAAACAAATGCAAGTGAAAAAACAACATTGCATATGGATTTCACCTAGGAATTTGCATTCATCACTTAGATTTTCTCTGGCTGTACATCACACCCCAGAGTCTTGGATATCTGTGCTGGTGCAAACACAACAACATTTCTGCATGCAAAATGTTGAGCAGTACCTGCTCCCTGAGTGGGGAGGTCTAGTTTGAGAGGCTTCTGCACCCATTTTGACAGAAACAATGAAAACTGTGCAGACACATTTTTTCCTGCAGCTGGGGGAAACTCCTACACTTCCACACAGCCATTGTGGATTTGGTAAATCAAAACATTTACTGCAGCATGAGGAAGCACCAAGTGAGAGAAGGTGGGCGCTTACCTGCAAGATGTATGCAGCCAGTTCAAACACCACTTCACTGTCAACCTCAATGAGTTCCTTGAAAGGTGAAGAAAACAAGAAAGAAAAAGAGAGTTGAGCTGCTATAAGAAGAACATACATCTCCTCCTGACTACTGCATGGTGAAGCATGCAGTGCCAGTTTTCTCCCTTGGCTAGGCTTCAAAGTATTCCCTGTGCTCCTGGAGACAAAAGGGAGGGAGAAGCTGCCCACTCAGATATGGAAAAAGCCAAATATTCAGTGCAATGTGCTGGTTAATGAAGCATAACTGGATGTGGCATGAAGGGATTCCTGGGGGAGGAGTGAGGAGAAGGCAGGTGGAAGGGGTAGGATCAGGGTACATTTTATTCTCTTGTGTGATTTAGTGAAAAGCAGTCCAGCACATAAATTTTTTTGCCCTCAGATGTGACCATGGTTCAAGGGAACACAGCTTTGTCCTTAGCTCACAGAAGCAGGGAATGAGAATTTATTTTCAACACACTGAGGTGGTATCAAAGCCCCCACTGGATTCCTCTGGCCCTTGCAAAAGGTAAACTCACAGGAAAATGAACCATATTTGCTCTCGCAGGATTTGGGCCCTGGTTTTGTCCTTTTCACCCCCCAAGAGCACTGAAGCTGAGGGTGGTTCGAGAATGAGCTGTGACAGCAAGTCTTTTGGTAGATCTTCCTTCTCTATTTTATAGGATCCTGCCACCGGTGAAAGCAATCTTGAAGGGTTTTACTTGGACACCGTGGTCACATGAAGAACACTGATGGTTCCAACAGCCCCTCTCAGGGTTCCTCTGCTGAGCCAGGCACTGCTCTGGCTGAATGTGCAGAATGCAGTCCAAGCATCAAAGATGCTTGAGGTGGGAGGCACAAGAATTACTCTGGAGGCCAAGCATGCTATTTCTGACTCTCTGGTCCCTGCCTTTGGGAAGCTAGTGGGCTTTTACTGAGATAATGTTTAGGCCTCTATTCTGCAACTAGAACTTCTACAGTGTCTCCTATGGACATGGGCCAGTAAACTGGGTCACTGTTCAGCTCATTCCTGTAGTGGTTTTTCTGCTGTATTTATTTAAGCTGCTGTTTTTAATATTTTACTTCATCTGGCAAGAAATGAGTGATCTAAATATAGATCACTACTGTGATCCATGTTCCAGCCAACTCATGGCCACACCTCATTTACAAGCCACAATTGCTGCATTGGCTTGTCTCTGGCAAAATCAAAAACAAAGGGAACTAAAACGCAGGATAAGATCCAGGTGTCCTCGGCTTTCACTAGTGCCAGCTTTTTAAAATAAGTTCACTCCTTTCATAACAGCTCCTTGGGGAGTGAAGAGCAGGTCTGCTAGGGGCGATAAACACGCCTTTCCCCTGTCAGCTGAGCCGCCTGAGTCACGCAGGCACCTGCACCAGTGACGAGCCCGTGCCAAGGGAAGCGGCTGCTGCAAGAGGTGGATTCAGCTGCAGGCAGGGCTGGGCTGGGGCTACCAGGCAGTCCCATAGCAAAGGGCAATGCAGAGTAGAACCAGAGCACCTGCTCTTCCTCCTGGCTGGGAGCATCAGGCATGGCACGGACAAACCAGCCCGTGCAACCATGTGTCGACGCTGTGGCAAGTCTGTACTGGCAGGTGGAGTGTGCCAGAGCCCATTCTCTGGCCCCAAGGGTAGCTGGGGTGCAGCAGAGCTCATGACTAAACACTCACCCTGTCTCCCCCAGTCCCAGCTGGGGTTTCCACCACTGTGCTGCCTATTTGGAACAGGTGTGCATCCTTGATCAGTGCCTTGATCTCTGCCTGGGGTGGAGCCAGTTGGCACAGGCCAAAACCCACACCAGAACGTGTGAGTCATTAAACAGCCTCTCTGATCAAGGGACAGTGCCTGATGCCAAGCCCTGTCTGCTTTGGTAGTACAAATGTGGCTTGGCCTTTCTGGAAAAAGTGGCTTGCTGGTGCTGTGCAAGGGTTTGGGTGTGTGGGCTCATGAATGTCTCACTACTCATCAGGGTTGCAATGGGCACAGGCAAAGGAGCACAGCACCCAACACATGGCCAGCTGGCAACCCAGTGACCAGCAGCCCCAAACTAGGCCTCAGTTTTATTCTGCCCCACCCTGAGCAAGGGGATGATGGAGGATGTGTGTCTGGGGAATCAACAGTGTTAGTTCCTAACCCTGTGCCAGCACCTCAGACCTTTCCCTGTTTCATACGCATTTATCTTTCTGGACTGCAGGGGAGCCAGGGCTGGATGTATCCATGGGAAGTCCAATAAGGAAACTTTTGGTGCCACAAGGAAGCTCTCAAGCTTTGGCAGCATGTGACATCATGTGCTAGCTGCAGGAATGACAAGCACTGGCTGTGCTTGGACACCAAATCATCATTACATTAAGAGGACAACACACATCACATTAAGAGGAATCTGCCGGGCTGGGTGCTTGCCCTGAGCCTTAGCAGACACTTCGCACCCAACTTTCAAATTCAGTGCCTTTTTCAATAGCACAGCATGGCTTACTGTGGCTGGAAGTCAAATGGGGAAGGATCTGCATGGGAGATTGGGACTTCAGCAGGGCTATTTTAGGATAGAGATGCTCAGCTTGAATGTGCAAAGTAATGGTTTCAGGAGAGGTCAGACTAAAATAGACACACTTAGATCTGTAGGCACTTTGTTTTCTTTATTTTGTTCCCCTCTTTTTCTTATTAAGCTTCCTCCAAAAAAAGAACAACAGTGTAAGCTTTTCCTGGCAGCACTTCAAAAAGGAACTTTCCCCAGGAACCAAAACGTGATGCTCACTGAGCTTGTTGCTGGAGAGGGCTGACTAAGCACATCTAATTGCAGCCTTGCCGGAGAGCAAAGCACTGCACAGCTCAGCTCAGCAGCCCTGCCTAGTTCCTGGGCACTGAAAAAAAGGAATTTCCTGGCTTCTGCCCTGCATTTTAGAAAATACAAAGCTAGTGTCCATGTATTTTAGGACATATAAATGTCAAGTGAGGCTCCAGATTTGGTGCAATCTACTTGGCTTAGCAGGTGACAAATGTGCTGAGGGTTGTGGGAGGGTGGAATAATCTCTCCCTGACAACATCTGTCTTTCCCTACCACTTCCTCTCTGGCAGATGGAGGTGAGTCACAGGAATGGCCTCTGCCAGCACAGAGGGAGGTAGGAGGGATCCTCCCAGGGAATCCCAGCTGCTGACAAACCTCTCCCAGCCCCAGACATCCAGCCCACCTGGCTGAGTCTGCACACTGCCAATCTCCACCGCAGTGTGGTCTGGGGCTGGCTGATTTTCCAGACCTTGCCACGCACAGCTGGCTTGTGGCATGAGAGGGATCAGTTTCATGGCTCTGCTGTGGGCACCCCTCCAAGCTGAGGGTGTGGATAAGCCAGGATACCTTATCTCTGGCACAGAGTACCTGGCAAGGGGCTGCTCTGAGGGGCAGTGCCAGGGACAGCACCCTGGTCTTCTAGGAGTGGACCAAGGAGGGCAATCACTCACACAAAAACATTTCTCAGTGCATGGCTTGTTCCTCTACAAGGTGATCTTTGGTGCATACCCACAGACACCTTTACCCTGCTCACATAAAACCATAAACTCCTCCTGTCCCACGAATTGGAGGTCACTCAGCTGGCTCAGACTGGAGAAGCGGCTGAGGGGAGACCTCATGGTGATCTGCAACATCCTCACCAGGGGAAGTGGAGGGACAGGCATTGAACTCTTATCTGGAGAACAGTGACATGCCGAGGGAGTGACACGAAACTGACACATGGTTGGATATCAGGAAAAGCTTCACCCAGAGGATGCCTGGGCACTGGAACAGGAAAGTGGTCACAGCATTGAGCCTGACAGAGTTCAAGATGCCTTTGGACAACACTCTCAGGAACATGGTGGGACTCTTGGGGTTTATGCGTGCAGAGCCAAGAACTGGACTCAACGATCCTTGCTGTTCCTTTCCAACCGAGGCCACTCCATCGTTCTCTCTCCCTCTCCCCCCTCACACACGCCGCTGCCCCCGAAGATGGCGCCCGCGCCGCACTGCCGCCCTCTGCGGGCCCGAAACCCTCACGGCAGCCGCTGGGCCCAGAGCGCCTTTTTAACACAAACCCAGACGTTTCCTTCTAAATACAAGCCAGTTTATAATTTTGGCAGTGTAGATTTCCTTCTGCCAGCCACAAGAGTTACTTCCAGGGCTGTTTTACCTCAGAACCACTCTCTGACAGGAAAGCTGCTGCCAAGTGCGGTGGCAGCTGGAGACAGAGGAGTGAGGGAAGGTGTGAGGAGGAGGAGGAGAAGGAGAAGGAGGAGGAGAAGGAGAAGAAGGTTGTATCTGGAAGTCCAGATGTGGCCAATGTAAATTTTGGGGCAGGGAATGCAGATCCAGGTGTCTCAGCCCACTCTGAGCTCCCCAAGTTCTCACCTTGTAGATGCAGGACTTGGCGTTCAAGAAGAACAGCTCGATGGTGGCATTGTCCTTCAGATAGGAGATGCTTTCAATGTAGAACCTGAAAGGAAAAGCAAGAGGGGTGAGACATGAGGGAACTAGGGCAAAACATGGAAATGCACTTATTAAATGAAAAATGTGGTCAATGGAGTCATGATGAATGTGCTAAAAATGAACTTTCTTCTCTTATATCAGCCTGAGGTATGATGATGAGGCTCGTGCACACTCCAGGACCTGATCAGTCACCACCACCTCAGCCATACCAAAGGAACTGGATCATGAAGTGGATGATTTAAGTTATAAATAATCCTTTGTTTTGTTTTCAGACTTAAAATAAACCTTTATTATGTTTTTTGTAAGCTTCACCTTTGTTTGCCATCACATTTTCACCATCAGCATTTCTTCATCACTCCTTTACCCATCGCAACAATTCTGTTCTGTTAACCTGCATCTTGTAAAATATTCATCTACAAAAATGCACTTCTGGATTCCTTCCCTGTCCCCTTCAGCTCTACATAAAGCAAATTTTATAAAGGCTTCTTTACATATTATTTCTATGGTCTCACACTAAGACAGTAGTTACTAACCTTGCACAGTTTACCAGTACCATGAATAACAATGTTAAGGATGACAGGGAATGATCATAATCTAATTTTTTTTGAGATGAAGTGATTTCTCAGAACTCAGGAGAAAGCTCAAATCCCCAGTGTCAGAAAAACCCACTCATTTGCATTGGCTTATTGCCCCAAATATTTGCAATTATGTTGAAAGCCCATGATATGTGTGAATTTATTCAGTACTCCATGTCCTGCCTGCTCTGAAGGTCTGATGCTTTGGCAATGAACCTTTTGAGAGCTTTATGAGAATTGACTCCTGTCCTTAATTCTGCCTTAAGATCTTTTTTTGGGGAAAAAAATGTTCTGGATACTGTCAATGTTAATGACTGATAATTCCATAGAGGTATGTTGTGTGTTCCTGTAGTAACAGAGAAAGCCTGGCTATGTTCAGTGAATGTTAAGGTGAATTTTGCATTGATTTAATGTTTTAGGTAAGGAAAAAAAAATAGATCATAATGCTGTTCGGTAGTGATCTTCAAATTGCACTGCAGTGACAGCAACATTCCTTACATAAATTCCAGTGCTATCATGCCTTGTCAGAGGCAATTAGAATAGGGAAGGTGCCAGGGAAATGGTGTCTGCACCAGGGACTTTTAAAAACCCAAATTCCTTAGAAATCTGGGTTGACATGCAGGGTCCATTTACAGAGAAACCCCACTCCCTGACCCTGCTGTCTGGGAGCAGACAGACCTGCAGACACTTCTGGGGCTTCACACAAGTGCTGAAGGGATTGTCCACATCCAGATATCTGCAGAGTCCAGGGCCTTAAATGCAGCCTTCTTAGGGGCAGAGGTCAAAGCTTTGTAGTGCTCCTAAATGTCTCCTGAAGGCTCCTCAAAACACTTTATTTCCTGACAGGCAGAACCAACTTCTTGCTTATTAGAGTGAGAGAAACATTTTGTTCATCTGCTGAAGAGCTCCTGTCTGTATTACCCTTCCTTCTCCCTCTTCAGAAGAGAAATAAAAATAAAGCCTGGATAAAATAAAATAAACCCCAAGAAAACACCAACAACCAATCAAACTCGCAAAACACCAAAAACTTGGATAGATTCAAAAATTTGAATGTAGCGATGATGAAGCACAAAGATTAAACTTTTTCTTATTTTTTTCTGGTTTTCAGTTTCACCTACTGTCCTTAAAGTGGTCTCTTTGTAAATAAAGAAAATACTTGACTTTAGAAGTGCAAAAATTGATGCATTAAAAAAGGAACTTTCTTACTAGATCCACTCTCTGAGCGCAGCTGCCTTCTCATCTGCTGAATTAATGGAGAATAATGCTAATTTGACACATTCTGTGGTTCTTGAACAACCTCCTCTTCTTATCACTGCTACCAGTGCTCTCCAGGTTATGGTGGAAGGTTTTCTTATTTCAAGGTCAGAAGAAAACGAGAACATTTTTCCCATTTTGAATCCCAGTGAAGGTTAGCCCAAAAGCTTTTTGTTTCAGCAGCTCAAACGCGGCCGTTCCACCATCACTAGAGGGCAATATTGCATTTCTTACGGCTGCAGGGAGCTTTCCCAAGGCTTTCCACATGGACATAGATCGTTTTCTCTACAAAATTAAGTCTCTGGGAGCACAGAGCCTGCACGTAATACTTCATTTCACAAAGAAAACCCAATTCTCAAGTGATCTCCAGCGTGGAGAGTGAGCTGGGAAGCTACTGGCTCTCACACATGCACCCAGACAAATGTGGAACGTATGCACCAGGAAACTGGTGGTACTTAAAGCAAAACAGATTTGCAGAGGGAACTCTTGTGGGATTTTCTGTGTGGCAAGCTCAGAAAACCTGAACTGGAGTAGATTACCCTGAATTCACAGTTGGTGCAGTAACAACAAAAAGGGCAGGGAAAGACACTTTTTTTTTGCACTTATGATTAGTTTCTGTCCCATCTCCTCCTGTTTCCATCTTTCATGAGCACAGTGAAGGAACCAACACTTTACAATGACCAATGTCAATGACTAAGGAGGCAGGGAGGAGCATCCAGCTGCTAAGGCAATGAACCAAGCAAACAAAAATCTGGGTTGAATTCCCAACTCGGACACAGGTTTCCTTTGTGACCTTCAGAAAAATCATTTAGCTGCTTGGGCTGTTGAGCTGGGCTTAGGAAACACCCCTCCCTTCTCTGCCCCCCTCTGTCTGTTTTGCCTGCTAAGCTTAGGAGCCTTTGAAGGTGTGTTTCAAGATCATCAGTTTTGAGAGGCAGCTCTCAGATTTCTGTTGAGGACTCCCCAGAGAGCATCATTCCTTCCTGTGATGTGAGGCTAATGTTCCTGGGATATAACGGATGGGTTGAACAGGGAAATAGGCAATACAATGTGTCCAAGACCTCTGCTCCACTACCTGCATCTCTTGCAATACACACTCAGCAAATAGTTTTGCCTCCAGCAGCTCCTACAAGAGGTTCCTTGATAGCCAGCAACTGTGCCTGTGTGAAATTAGCTGCCTCCAGGAAGGGGGAACACCCCATGAGACTTGGGGAGTGTAAAACCAAAGGAATCATTTTGGAGAAAATTTAAAAGATCAGCCAATGTTAATCAATTTCTGCATTCCTCCTCCCTCCCCACCCCTAGTAACTTGTAATTCATCAAGTACATTTTCTAAGCATTAATTAAATAGACCAGTGAATATTATGCTGGATAATGAACACAAAGTGCCTATCTTAGCTGCTCCCTCTCAGCAGCAGGGAAATAATAATGAGCACTGCAGAAGGTGTCTTGGAAGACTTCAGAAGCTGCTGCATCTGAAATGTTTAAGGCTTTTTAGCTGTGAGGACATGTCTCATACTGATCAGATTGCTCTCTGTTAAGCACTGGTTAACTGACAACTTTCTCTCAGACAGCTTAAGCCCCCTCAAGCTGTGATGAATGGCAATTCCCATCGTAACCAGCCAAGCACAGCCTCACAGCGGTGCTTGTGGAAACTCCTGATCCTTGGTGAGGGGAAACTGGTATCACCACAATTTCTCCCTTGCATTACACACAGGCTCATCCACCTCTGACTCATGGCTCAGAGAAATGCCTGACTGGGTCCTGGACTCAGCAGTTTGGTAAGTGGTTCTCCAGGAGATGGAGAATCCCTTACTGCTGCTGCCAGTCTTGTCTGTGAGCCCAGGTGTGTGTGTGTGTGTGTGCAGGTGGGAAATTCAGCAGTGTTGGGAAGGTGTCTGAGCACTAGCGCTCTGTCCTTGCAGTGGGAATAGAGGAATTCAGGACTGCCAAGCACCTGAGCTCATGGGGTGCTGGTGTGCACCGTGAGAGAAAAAATGAGCAGCACTCCTGATCTCCATACACCAAAAGAAACTGTCAAATACACAATATTTAGCATTGCCTCTAACACATAGCCCTAGACATATCCTGTCAGCCTGAACTTGGCCATCTATCACCTAGCAGGGACCAGGCTCTCTGCAGTTGTATTGCTGACTGGGCAGATAGACTTAAATAGCATTTGAGAGTACAAGCCTATGTGTTTACTTCCAAGCAGAACCTGCCAAATGGTAAAAATATTTCACTGTGATCTTCAACACAATGGTATTTGAAAACATGACCACAGCAAATGATGTCTTGTCTACTTCAGGTGTCTGTCTTTTCTGAGGCAGTGATATCATCCTCATTCTTGTCAAGTTTGAGTCTGGTGGGAGCCAGCTAATCCAATAACTTCTTTTCACATCTTTCCCAGCTGGCTGACTCTGATCTGGTTGGGATGCAGGGCAGAGCTGTCAGCAGAGCTCAGTAACCCTCTCAGTGGACGACCCCTTATTTCATTATTACAAGGAATGGGTAAAGGAGAACACCACTTTTCTGCCTCATCCATGCTGAGGTCTGGCTCATTATCCCTCACCATGTCATTCAGAACCTCAGAGGATAATGTGAAAAATATGAGGCCATTTGTTAACCAGGAAAAGAAAAATCGTATGCGTTGGTATAATGGACTTAAATGCAGATGTCATTATGTCTAGTGTCTTATGCTAAATGAGTATTCTGAGCAGCACAGGCTGCACAGCTCCTTTTATGTTCCAGCCCTGTTTGCTAATAGTCATGGCTACACACTTTTATGTCCTGCCACTTAGAAGCAGACAATGCTCATGCTAAATAGTTGGCCTGTTAAGTAATCAGTAAGGAATGAAAATCAGCTAAAACCTCTCCTTCTGCATTGATTTTGCTTTGGATCCCATGTCATGTCTCCTGTGCTCAAGCCCCACCACATCCAGCACCTGGGGTTGGTATGCAGGGGACAGGAGGCAGCAAGAGAGACAGACCTGTGTCAACTTCTACCTCATTGCAGGGGAAACCATAACACTGGAGGTGAATTGGATTCCAGAAATTCAGGGAATCACAGCTAACAAAATAAAAAGCTGTGGATATTTTTTAACCTGAGCCTGTCCCCTCTCTCTCACCAGCTGCACTATATTATGAAGTTGTCTGCATCTTTACCTTCTGTAAATCA